CTCATCCTTTTCGCTTTAATGTTAATCTCTTAATTTTCCCATGAACTCACATGATTTGTATCGCTTGCATTTGACCTTGTCAATCATTCGTTGCTTTTATTCATGTGTGTGCATATCTATTTCGCTTGTCATATGTCTGTCTTATTCTTATCTGACTATATATTCTTAGTCATAATCTATCTCTTGGAGTTGGCTCAACAGCCTTCTCCTATTCGCTTCTCCAATTCGCTGCTCATTCGCATATTCGCTCGCTAGTGTATCTGCTCAGTCTGTATGTGGTGTGCCTCGAATAAATGTATACGATACTTGGAGTTTATCTTCTGATTTATAAACGAGCTTAAGAACACGCAGTTATAGGCACACTACATAATGGTGAGCCCAACGTCAACACAATTGGCCACCATCAATAATGGTGAGCCCTACGTCAGTGAAATCGGCCACCATACAAAATGTTGAACCCGTCGTTCATTCATATCACTCCCTATTTGCTTCGCTCGATTCATTCGTCCATACGTCTTCACAGAAGATCAGTAAACTCTCACTACATAATTCGACGATTCCGATGACAAATCGAATATAACCAACCAGTTGGTAATTTCGAGGACAAATCGAACAGAACCGCTAACTGGAAATCCCGACGCCATTCAGCGACAAAGCAGCTCTCGTACTTAATGCATTAGCTGAACGAATCAAGCATTATCTTATCGTAATTTTGATTATGTACCAACCTGTCGCATTAATCTATTTCTCGAATTATCCAATTATCGCTATCATTATCGTATTAATGTGAAAGAACCATTATTATGATGAATCATGATATTATGACAATAATGGAATTATCTTAATCGCTAATCGAATCGCATTTCGAATATTCTGTTCATGGCAGGACATTTGTAACTCACGGAATTATTTTACTTCTTTCGACAAAACGAACGACGTTCATGATTAAGGTGAGTTCGTTCCATTTATTTTGTCGTATCGCATTATCATGTTTCGAATCGCTTATCAAAGCAATGGCTCAACGACAATTATTGTCCTTTAATATTTCCGTGGCTATACGATTATCGCATTGGAGATATCTTCTATGTACTCATCAGCTGCACGTACTCGAAAATCTTGCAGCCTGCTAAGTAAATTGGTGGTATGATCTTACGTACATGCACACGAAACAGCAGCTCAAGCAGTCGAGCGAACCTCCTGCACGCTGATATTAGCATGTTTTTCGACTACCCCAACGCTGGCAACGGTTTGCAACGCTATCATACACATAAGTTTGGAGTCATATACTCAATGGTAGTAACTTATGTTCTCGATATGCATCTAATGTTTATGCATCGCATTGGTACGCAGCTTTATTCTCCAAATTTTTTGCACGATAATCTCGATCGCAATTTCTTCACCTATCTGCAGCCACTCGATTTATCGATGAGCCTTACCGTAATGTCTATGCGATTATCGAATTCCGTCTTAACTGTCATGCCTAAACGATATTAAATATTTTGCAGCATTTGTATTACATTTTCGTATCGTACAACTGCTCCTAATGTATTCTATTCGAAATCGATTATTTTTGCTAATAACCGCTTACTACACATTTTTGATATTCTGTTACTATGCGAACTTACGAACGTACTCGGACAAGGTAACTTTAATTTTCGTACCTTTTGATGTTTTCCGACGATTTTGATTTTTTTTCTCGCAAACAAAGACATTTTCGTAACCTTGTTTGCTGGAAGGGGGCTATTGTAGTGCCTCCACATATATTTCAGTTCTCTCACATCTAACTTGGTTAATCCCTTTCGATTAATTTATTTAACCAAGCCATTCGCTTAGCAACAACTTGTTTGTACCATTGTTATTTTTTATTATCTGCTTTGTATGAGCTTATACGACTGAGCATTGCTTACGCTTACGCGCTTACTCATCCTTTTCGCTTTAATGTTAATCTCTTAATTTTCCCATGAACTCACATGATTTGTATCGCTTGCATTTGACCTTGTCAATCATTCGTTGCTTTTATTCATGTGTGTGCATATCTATTTCGCTTGTCATATGTCTGTCTTATTCTTATCTGACTATATATTCTTAGTCATAATCTATCTCTTGGAGTTGGCTCAACAGCCTTCTCCTATTCGCTTCTCCAATTCGCTTTCGCTCATTCGCATATTCGCTCGCTAGTGTATCTGCTCAGTCTGTATGTGGTGTGCCTCGAATAAATGTATACGATACTTGGAGTTTATCTTCTGATTTATAAATCGAGCTTAAGAACACGCAGTTATCGGGCACACTACCCATGCTACATCGAAAACCTGAAAGGTATCTAAACAATTGCACTACAATCTGTTGCGCTAATCAATGTAAATATATCTGTAGCCGAACATATCGTGATTTACAATCAGGTGTGTCTGAATATAACTCCTCCTGGATACTGTCTGTGGTTACTGCCTTTACAACGCTAAGACACAGGGTTTGGCAAGGGTCATCGGCCCGATCAATCAGAAAAATAACTAGCTAAAAACTTTATCTGAATATACACTTCCGGATGTGAAGACTAATTTACACGTCCATGTACTGCCTCCTGGATAGCAAGACTCATTCACCTGGTCTAACGCAACCAACGATTCAGATGGTGAAGATTGTTGTAATCCTCATTTCTACCGATACTCACCGACTGAATACAATGCATACAGTGTTATTTTATCAACAGTGGCAATTGTTCAGAAGCTGGAGATAAGAGGAAATCACACACACACTTTCTGCCCCTAGCAAACTTTATTATTCTAAAAAACGAAAAAAAAGGATGCCAAACCCAGAAAACCTGAACTAGTCTTATGAAATGTCTGTGTTAAAGGAAACCACAACAGATAGTCACATAAAAGAATGAAACTATTACAAAGCGGTGAGCATAGAAACAAGAATGATTTGTAAATCTTTAAATATAAACAACGAAACAATACTCTTTAACTATAACTCAGACTATCGGTACATTATGGTTAGATTCATTATCAATGCAAGAGGTGAAATAGTAGCACCAAACTGTAACGAAATCAATGACAGAAATCCACTTGATGACTTTACCTCAAACCAGTCAGCTACAATGTAGAGCTTTGCACGTGCATACATTAGCTCGACCTGCAAAACCATATTAGCACTCACAGACGAGATTTTCAATCCAAATAACACAGTAGCAGATGTATTAGAAATATTAGCAGCAATCAAAAAGATTCGGGATGAAAGATATTATTCAAGAAGTATCATTCAGTGAAATATACTTATCAAGAGATTATAATTTGAGAGAAAACAAAGCATGGATGCACCTGAGCCATTGCAACCGATTTTTAGACATGTCGTTCAAGTTCTCTAACCGTTGGTGACTATCGTCTCGCCGACACCAAACAGGTAGCCTACATCTACCAACATGACTCAGTCAATAGAGTTTGTTTACCTAATGTTTTCAATTTTTCTTTAAGATAAGCTTTTTCTTGTTCTAATGCTTCAATATCTGCTTGAAGTGCATCTAACGTTTGTTCATATTATTCGATTTTTTTATTTGGGTTTGTTTGAGAAGAAAAAAGAAAATTACAATGATTCAGATATAAGTATTGCACTGCGCCACTATTCCGTTTATTATACTCATATAAAGAAACGATATAAATCCCTATCCTCAATAGGGCAAATGTGTTGTTTCATTGGTTTACCAGGAGAATCAGACACACTTCCCACATGGAAACACTACAACCTGAACAGTATACAGATCAATCTTGTGGCGCAGCCACACGGGTACCTAATAGCAAACACCATTTAAGTAAACCAGTAAAAATTTAGTGATTTTTTCCGAGTCATGATCGTGTCAGTTAATACGCATAGCATGAACAGGTCTATTCGATCAATCCCAATTACATGATTGTCATAGTTATTATATTTAACAGGGTGATATGCAGTGGAGTATCTGAATGACAGTGAACTTCGGGAATGTTACAAGGTAACCAACACCAGTATCAATCAAATGAGTCATCTGGCAGACCAAATTTGTATGCCGCCAGATGGTAAAACGTGCGAAGACAATGCCAAACCATCCACAATGTTCACAACGAACCTCTGGTCTTATGGAAAATCTTCAGCTCTGTATAGAAGTATTGCATATGGTAACCACACAGGATAGAAAGAAATGCAGCTCAGCTTGATGCGAATAAGCTCAAACACTCTTACTACCCTCAAGTTGGGTGATGATTTATTCGAAATAGCAAAATTTTCATTTTTCTGACTGTATGAGACCTGAGTTACGGTTAGTAAGCGTTTTGACTTATGTAAACTGAGTTTGAAATAAACAGTGGATTATTCAACGTTGATCAATTCAAGGTATTGCGCAAACTCATCCATCTTCTTTTCTGTCTAACAAACCGCTTACACTCGACATGGCCGAACTCCACTGATCACGGCAATTACAAATCACGGATGCGCACTGTCGTAGAATCCTATACAAGGGTGGCAACCATTCACTGAATGAGTCATCTACTCACTGATTTAGAAATGTATCGCCTATACAGCATGTTCATCATAATTAAGCCAAACTATACCTTGGAGAAGTTACGATGTCCCATGATTAAATCCGAGTGCTTTCTGAAGTCACGATGCTGGTGGCTCTTCTGACAACTAGAGCAACCAATAATTTAGGGTACAAGTGATGTTTTCTTCACTTCTTTCATCATTCTTTGAGTGTCCACAACGTATATAATGACTGTTATTTCAACTTATCACTATATCACGTTTACGTCATAAACTAACAAGAGATAAGTTGAATGATAGATAACACAACTAAAGAGCTACTTTGTTAAAGTCTAATGTATTCAAAACTCATATAACAAGCTATACAAGTTAAAGATCTAACGTAGGAAATGAAAATCCAATAACTTGAAACAACCACCCCCGCAAAAATATTCAAGCAATACACGTTTCTGTTGGGATTACGATTGTTCTAAACAATCTTCTAAACGAGAAATTTACTCTTCATTTGCTTTGCCAATCGTTTCTAAATTTTTCTCAGCTAAACCAACACGTACAGACATTTCACTTAATTCATCCGCACGTGATTTCAATGCTTTTTTTAATTCACGTATTTCTTCAACACGACTATCTAATTTAGCACGATATCCTTCTAATTCAGTCTGTGAACGTCTATAAGCGATAGCACGTGTAACCACTGGTTCTTGAGGCTAGAGCACCATCATTATCATATACATGGTTAACAATATATACACTGGAAATATTTGAAGAAAAAAACAGTTGTTCAATAATCAATCAGTCAATCAATGAAAAAAAATCATACTGTACTACTGAATAATGCAAACATTTTTCAAGTTGTTTCCTCATTTGAGATTACAGCCTTTGTTACATGTGTTATACATTTGAATTCTGTGTTGTAGCGGAGTTCTCGTTGTTAAGGTTAAGCGCATAGTAGTGAGTAAAGATTAGAAATCTATCGAACGGTCAGTCAGTCAGATACAACATAGAACTTCGTACGTTCGCACGTATGTACATCAGTTCATGTTGCCATATCACATTAGCACAGAGATATAATTGTCAATTCAAACCCAATAGTATTAGAGGTAGTAAAGGTATTAGATGTGATCGGAAATGTTAGGATTAGAAGATATTATTCAAGAAGTATGATTCAGTGAGATAAGTTTAGAAAGACAAAACTAGAGGTGTTGGAGAATCCAGAAGGTTATAATTTGAGAGAACACAAAAATAGTAAATGCAACGGCGCCATGGCAAACGGTTTTGAGCCATGTCATTCAGGGTCTCTAACCATCGATTATTACCATTTTGCGGACCACAACCAGGTAGTCTACATCTGCTAACATGACTCAGTCCACTCGTCAATGACTCCACAGATATCTGCCATGTTTTAGTTTTGCCGCCACTAACTTTCTTCCAAACTACTCCTACACTACAAAACAAAGCTGTTTCAGGCAGCCGGTGGTTAGTCTTACGCAGCACATGTCTCAACCAGTTCCATTGAAGAAGTTTCACTACTTCATCAGTTGATCTGCCATTCCTACATAGCACCCGTTTCCTAAAACAGCGTTGCTCACTCGTGTTTCGTAGTGTAGTGAATGAGAACACAGGTGGGGGCAACCGAATTGCATTTAGCGAAAATTACAGAGTTACTCAGTAAAATCGGAAAACCATATCGTAAATCGTTAATTTGCAAAAGATCAGTTCATCCTATGGAACTGGACTGTTCCTGTTGCAAAACATCATCCATTGTCACTATTCATGGTTTATCAAATCTGTTTCACTCACGTCATATACTACAAGTAGTTCGCCACAGACCAAGTAGGATATACGAGCGATGCTTCGAGGACACCAATGATCGAAAACCAGTAACCTACGAATATCTACTACTCTCACTGACGTGTTTTACAGTCATATAGTAGGACAGAGCGAAATACTGCGCACAGACTCTTCCTTTAGATAACAAACGGATATATCGTATATGCCATAAGTGATGCAAGTGGACAAAAGTTGCTCGGGTCCTTTGTATTCGAGCTAAGATTTCATCAGTCATCAGGCCGTCAGCACCGCTGAGGCTCCCCAGATAAGTGAAGCTGTCAGATAGCTCAACTGTTTCACTGCCTATCACTAGTTCAGGCACCGATGCAACCTAATGTTGATGCAACATTTTGCATTTCGAGGTGGAAAACTGCATCCCGAACATGCTTGCGTTGTTGCCAAGTGTGGTCAGAAGACTCTGCATTTCTGTCAGCGTCTTCATCACGTAGGACTATGTCATCGGCAAATTCTAATACAATAAGCCAGCATCCTGGTAAAAGTTCTACTCCCAAAAATCCATACAAGGATAATGTTACTTCTAGGATCATGTCTATGATAAAATTGAACAAAATGGAGACTATTGAACAGGTAATAGTAAATTTTCTAAAAAAACATTTGATAAAGTCGATTCAATAGTCACGGTACATAAATATTTATGTGTGTGAGTTCCTTAACCTAAACAGGATCACTTCCTGAGAGTTTGATCAAAAGTCCTAATCACACCAGATAGTGGTAGTAATGTTAGGGAATAGGTGTTAATACCAATCAATGACCAATGATAAGAGTATACACAATGATTTCCCCACTGCATCTTGAAGCCAATGCTGACCATTCTGATACGATAAAGATGATGACAATGATTTTTCAATCCTTTTAGATGGACTGTTAACATCCAATTACATTCTGTTTTCTTCCTATCAGTTCCCTAAATAACATCCTTGTTACTAAAAGTCGATGAGTAAATCTTCCTTGACACTGGCTATTTATGCGATTCTAGCCATATGAAAGCTATTCAAAAGAGAAAGCGAACTCTCTTGTTTCACTGGACAGGATCAATCCGAAAATGACGTCAGTCACTCAACATTCGATTCAATGTTTCCACAGTGTCCCTTTCTCCTCGACCAAGGTGGTTGGACTCGCCCATCGTGAATGATCCTACCAAGCTATATTGGCTCCAGCATATGTTCCATTAGGTTGTACCATTCAAAAAATGAAGGCGAAATCTCTTGTTTCACCGAAAAGGATCAGTCCACAAATAACGTTCGTCATTATTCGACTCTTTTTTCAAACAAGAAAAACATCTGTTTTCCATAGTATCACTGTCTCTCCGATCTTGGTGGTCAGCCTTGCCTATCGTGATGATCCAACCAAGCTATATTGGCTGGAACATATGATTCTTTGGATTTCACCATGAAAAACAGGTCCACTGGAGAATGATGAGACTAAAAGCAGTTACTCAAAGTCCGAGGGTGAAATAGTACTGCTGACTGTAGAAGGATGTGACAACATCCGGGCTTCTCCTCGAACATCTGCTATCTGCAGAGATGCTGCCTTCTCACAGGGGGAAGAAAGGGGTTAAGAAATGTCGACCCTAAAAATGTCACACCTCATATTACTCCACGGATTTCCATTTCAGCTGCAAAGCATTTCAAAAAGAGCAGAGCTAACACTTCAAACGTTTCTCATCGAAAGACCATGGGTGACCGGCCTCAAGCAGTTGAACTCTGGACCCTGCGGTTGTGCAATCAGGTCTATGAGACCGACGCCAAACTTATTGAGTTAACTCAAGTAACACTTTCATGATGTGAGCAGCAGTCACTAACACCAACTCTAAGCTTATGATGAATGTGAATATTTTAAACTTACCTACGGTTGTTTAGCTCCATCAAAATCATATTCACCATTTTCCATAGCTACTACTAGTTGACTTATTTCACGTGCAATTCGACTTAAATTCGTACGAATGATTGCTTTCGGCGAAATAAAACTAGGAAGTGAAGTGGTCGTAGTAGTAGTAGTAGTATAGTCGTATATCAATTGCTGTCAAGTATTCTTTACAAGTTTCTATTAAACATTGAGTCAATACAACATTTGGTTCTAGATTGTTGAATGTTTCCGTAAAATAACAAAATAATACATAATTGGAAACGTTCCTTTGATGAATGCATAGTGAGTAGATAGACAAGAGATTCATATCGCTCGTTCAGCCACAAAGTAGGACTTCATAGGCATGTTCGAACGTACATCAGTTCAAGTTGCTGTACCACATTAGCACACAAAGTATGCAATTGTCAACTCGAATCCCATACTGGAACGTTCGTACATTGTGGGAGACTGGAAGACTATTTCAAGTTGCGGCAGAAATGAAAAGATACAACCTCGAGGTGCTTGGAATCAGTGAAACACATTGGACACAAGTAGGACAACTGAGACTAGCTTCAGGGGAACTGCTGTTATACGCTGGTCATGAAGAGGAAAACGCTTCACATGCACAAGGAGTTGCACTGATGCTGTCCAAACAAGCACAAAATGCACTGATAGGATGGGAATCTCATGGACCCAGGATCAATAAAGCATTCTTCAGAACAGAGAAACAGGACATTTCAATGAACGTCATCCAATGTTATGCACCTACCAACGACTACAATGACGACGACAAAGATCAATTCTACGAAAGGCTGCAATCAATCGTCGAGAAATGTTCACCAAAGGATTTGACGATTCTTATGGGAGACCTGAATGCCAAGGTTGGAATGGACAACACTGGATATGAAGACATCATGGGACGACATGGACTGGGAGAAAGAAACGAAAACGGTGAGAGATTTGCAAACCTATGTGCCTTCAACAAACTGGTCATCGGTGGCACAATATTCCTGCACAAGCACATACACAAGGACACATGGATTTCACTGGATCACACTACTCAAAACCAGATTGATCAAATCTGTATCACCGAAACGTTCAGAAGGACTATGGAGGATGTGAGAACCAAGAGAGGAGCTGACATAGCCTCAGGTCACCACTTGCTTGTCTCCAAAATGAAACTGAAGTCAAGAAGCACTGGACAACCGGGCAGACAACATCACACAAGTTTAATACGGCCTTTCTTTGGGATACTGTAAAGCTCAACGAATTCATGATAGCCCTCACAAATAGGTTCCAGGCCTTTCACGATCTACTCAATGGAGAGAACGCAACATTGGAAAACAATTGGAAAGTGAGTAAGGAGGCAATCACTTCAACATGTCACGAAGTTCTGGGTCACAAGAAGTACCATCACAAGGAATGGATCTCTGTTGATACTCTTGCAAAAATTGAAGTAAGGAGGAACAGGAAGGCAGCAATCAATGTCAGCCGAACAAGAGCGGAGAACCTTAACGCACAAGCTGCATACACAGAAGCAAACAGAGAAGTGAAGAAGAGCATCAGAGCTGACAAACGAAAATATGTGGAAGATCTAGCAATGACGGCGGAAAAGGCTGCAAGAGACGGAAACTTGAGACAATTGTACGAAACTACAAAGAAGCTCGCCGGAAACTATCGTAAACCAGAACGACCAGTGAAAAGTAAGGAAGGCAAAGTAATCAGCAACACTGAAGAACAGCGAAATAGGTGGGTAGAGCAGTTTCAGGAACTATTGAATCGACCAGTGAACACACACAACATCGAAGCAGCATCCACGGACCTCCCAATTAATATTGACTCACCTACTATTGAGGAGATCAGTATGGCCATCAGACAAATCAAGAACGGCAAAGCAGCAGGACCAGACAACATTCCAGCAGAGGCAATGAAAGCAGATGTAGAAGCAACCGCAAAAATATTTCACATCATCTTCAAGAAAATTTGGGATGAGGAACAAGTACCATCAGGT